TTTAAACAGAATGTCACTGAGAAAAGAATGCAGCTATTAAGCAATAACAAACACAGAATCAATCATGATTTCAAATTTATCAGGAAACCAAATAATAATAATAATAATCATCATCATCATCATCATCATCATCATCATCGTCATCATCATCATCATCATCATCATCATTCTGCAGCAGGATCATGATTAAGCTGCTTGGACTAGCCTTTTCCATTTGGAAATCAACCTCTGATTTTCCTAAAGGCTATGGAAGATAAGGTCATCAAACCTTTGGAGCATCTATCTAAGTATACTTCCAAAATGTTCACAATTTACTTCTTCAGGTTAATCCAGGTCAACCTTTTGACATTCCTTTAGAACCATTAAAAAAAAGTAAATACACCCCACCTCAGTGGAAGAGCATAATGATAAGGTAACAATGGCTGTTTGGAAATCATAAATGGGATAACAAAAGGAGCGCTTTCGGCTGTTTTAACACTGTGACTGGAGAGCACCAGACAGGATTTGAAAAAAGAAAAACCTGCAGACTGTGTTTAACTGGGTTTTCATGTATGACTCAAATGGAATTTACAGGAAATTGAATTTTATTCATGAGTTCATTTTTAAAAACGTTTTGATGAAAGTGAAATAACAAGTTGGTTTTTGCAATATTTACATTCTTGTGAAACCCTTCAGGAGAACTTGGAACCTACAGCAAGTTTCATTTTTAATCACTTCAATGTTTGAAAGTCTAAAAAAGAAGTTTTTCTTGAATCAAAATGGCATTTGTCATGCTTTATGTTTGATTCAGGGCAAATGTTATTTCAATAACAACTTTTATGGGTATGCTGACGAGGCTTGCTGCTGTTTAAAAAGCCCCTTTCAACTTTTTAACAGATATAATATGTCACTATGTATTTGCACTATTTAAAAAAAAAAACTTCCTGATTAAATTTTTTTGTGTTTCAAAAAAAAATTTGACTTTCATGAATTTTTTCAGTCTATGGAACTAATAAATCTATTAAAATAAGATTTTTTTTCTAAAAATAAAAATTAATGGCACACACTTATAATGATTTTCTTCACCTTTCAAATGCATCTTTATTAAAATGATTTAAGAGGTACAGTAAGAACTAGTTTTTTTCCTAAGAATTAACATTGCTGCTTGATTTATGAGACATATATTAAAGCCAAAGGCGTTGGGATGAAAAAGTACCTTGAAAGATATTTTCCTATGATCTTTGACCACAGATACAGACAGGGGGGAGGGGGGGGGGGAGTGGTGGTAAAGAAACAAACTGGAATACTTCAACTGGTCCCTTATATCCTATATGCCTAATAAGGTATCAGTGGTCAACATAACTTAACTGTTTAGTAACGTGATATTTAAAATTAAATAACTAATGAAATCACACTACACACTGGGTTATCAGTTAATTAGCCATGCATCCAGCCCCACATTCCTTGCCAAAACACCAAAACAAAGTTAACTTCTTAATTACATCAGTGCAAATATCACTGCTTTCTGCCCAGTGGTATCACACTGGAAGAGGAAATACCATGTGTTTGGAAAATGGCCAATTTCTTTCTTTCTCTCTTTTACTTTTATAACCTGCAGTGAAAAAAAATTTAAAAAAAAGATACCAGAGACAGAGTAACTTTGTTTGCTTTAAGATCTGAGATACAATGCAGAGTTTTTATTTTTTAAATCTTTATATGGAATGACCACTGTGTTCTTTTTGTGCCTCTATTTATGTAAAAAGGTCACATCAAAGAGTCAACTCAAGTGAAAGCTTCAGAAACTCAAAATATGGCATGTTAAAAAACTTGATGTTCACTATAGGTATCCTTAGTCATTTCAAGCCTGTCCACTCAATATTTTGTCAATTACCATTTCCCTCTGCTATGAAAAAAATGCTCAAAATAAACATGTTTGTTTTTCAAACCCCTTCCAGTTTGCAAATGCTGAAAGTGAATTTCAAATTCTCTTAAAAAATTCATTTTTATAAACTAAATTTCTAAAGCATGTGCTCTCTATTGTACATAATTTGCCTGCACAAGCCTTTCATTTCTTTAGAACTTAACTCTTGGTCGTCCAATGTTCAACAATCGGAAGTCTTCACACCAGAAGGAGTCATTAGGAGATCTTCCTTGTTTGACTAGAGGCCTGACATGCTTCTGGCCCAAGGACTGAAATAACTGTCTAGATGAGGTCACTTGAACATGAGAATGGGTCAACAAGTCTGGCCAAATAAAGGGCTCATACTTCAGGCTGTTTGCACAATTTAATTATCTTTACTTTTGGTAAATTTTATCTTACATAAATCTGATACAATTAAATACCAATCAATTCATCAAGAGATTTTATAGGAGTATAATTTTACAGTTCTTTCTGAGGCAAAATAATTCACCTATTTTCTCAATGAAAACTGTAAAGTTTGCAATTTTCAAGAAATTCAGTGTTCCCAGCTTGTGTCCATTCCCATACAATTTCTATGGTTGCTGGAAGCAAGAAGACCTAGGGGCCACAAGGCACATGTCTAGAAAACAACTAACTGTTTTTATAACCCACCAAAAACAAAAGAAAAAGTTCACAAATGTTTAATTCACAGCTTACTCTTTAATCTGAGTTGAATGATAATGGAAGTGTGGAGTCATCATGGCATAAATGATTTTTGAAACATTTTGGACACAAGGTTAACCACATGACATACATAATGAGATCAAATCAGAACAGTAAGAAACAAGCAAAGATTTTTAATGGTAAAATATCAATTCAAGATAATAGCTTTAAACCTCCCCAACCACCACTTTTAGAAGTATGTTTTAAAATCAAACTGACAAAATGCACGTGCACAAAACTCAGCATAAATCTGCAGACAAAGTTAAACTTTTAAAAACAAAAAAAGTCTCTGCCAATAAAATCAGCATGAATCTGTAAGCAGCTGGATTTATACTTGTGAAGACGTGGTTTGTTACAGCTCAGTATTTTAGTAATCCAAAGTGCAAACAGTAGTTTTCTTCAATGTAACACCTGATTCACAAGCTGCAGCCTCCCATGCTGTGCAGTCTGGATTTCCTTAAAGACTGTGGAGAACAGACTGAAATTTCATCCTCATGAGTAAAGACACACTCCTTGTCAACCAGGGAGCTCTATAGAACGGTCACACTTAACCAAATTTTATCGAAGACATTTGAACAAAGGCTTCTTTCACTACAGTAAATTGAAGGAATCTTAAATGACACTGTGCCCAAGTATCAGAAACCTTGATGGCATTCAAAATTAAATTTATTGTAAAGATCCTTCCAATTTTCATTTCCTGTTTGGTACTCAGATGAAAATTCAACGCGGTGGTTTCAATAAAAACATTTTTTTTTTTCAGTACCACTCAATGAAAAATAATAGATATTTTGCGGCAAAGAGAAAAAATAAGATAAGCCAGAGAAACTAAACTATCATGACTGAAAGAGCTTTAAATTTTCATCTTCAAACTACACCTGACAACAGTAAGACTGGTATTTCCTTTGTAGGTATGATTTGGTGTAAATTCTATCAATCATTTCATTCCTTTATCTTGTCTAAATATTCATCCTTATTCAAACAATGATTATTGCATCTTGAAATTTGGTGGCATATATCTTTATCCCACAGCAAAATCATTATCAACAACCACACAACAAAGTCCTGCTAAGGACACCTAGATCTGCCAGGCCTTTTTCACCACTGAGCTAGTGCCATCTATTGACAAGGCACCCAGGGTAAAGCACAACAACTGGGTGAAGTAATTTATCTGCAAGGCCCCTCTTACAACTGCAACTAGTGCCACCTATTGACAGGGCACCCAGAGTAGAGCACACTGGGTGAAGTTCCTAATTTAACACATCATACTACGTGACAGAGGGTAAATAGAAGGACTAGTCTTACCACATTGTGATAGGAATTGCCAACTACAAACATTTTGATATATTCTACACATTTTAGGATCAATTCCCACTGTGTTTGGTGCCATTCTATTCTCTACAATATTAATCAAGACTATATACACTCTGTTGGGAACCCAAACACATGTAACAGCACTTACAGCATTTTATAGCAACATACAACAATATTTTGAGGCACCCTGCCAAAACACATTCTTCTCCACGAAAATGTATCTAACTTTTTACTCAATTCACATAAAATCATTGCTATTATAAAGGTAATGGCAAAAAATATGAATTTGCTAGAATAATTACAAACAATACTTAGACAATTGAATTTCAATCTTGAAACAATAAAAGCATTATTAATGGATAAAAAGGTCATTCTTTACCTTTCTGTCCCTTAGGCCCTACTGGGCCCTCTCTGCCATCCAAGCCTGGCTCTCCTTTTGGCCCAGTTGGCCCCTCATTGTCACCAGAGCCCTCTATAAAGACAGTGTTCCCTGGTGGGCCTTGGGGACCAGTGGTGCCATCTCGGCCAGGTTCACCTTTAGGACCAACAATACTGTCACCCTGGAAAAACGATTTTCGGCGAAATGCAAACACTTTCTCTCAGTATATATGTTAAATAATACTCTGCCACCCTCTCACAATATTTGCCTTGAACACCTCTTGCTGATGCTCATACAGAACTTGACTCTATATCTATGATTTGATCAATAATTAATTAATAATAATCTGAACTGAATTACCTTGGGGAGGTGCTTTTCCAGTTATCATTATTATAAATTCTATTTTTTTTTAATTTGATTAACGTTTTTTAAACTTGGTTTTCCTGGATCCTACTAAATAAGTTGTGAATAAGCCTACAGTAAAAGCCACTGATCAATGACTTTATCCTGTCTGTTTTCTTTTACTCCCAAATCTTTAAAACAATTAATGACTACAGTGTCCACTATCATACGAGTTCTTATACTGACCTTGTCTCCCTTGGCTCCAGGTAAACCATCCAATCCTATCATTCCTATCTCACCCCTGTCCCCCTTGTCTCCCTTGTCCCCCTTGGGACCTGTCACTCCCTCCCCAGAGTTAAGGAGTGGGCCCACAAACACACCAGGCTCTCCCTGGAATATAGAGAAAATAGGAAGCAAAACTCATCATGGCTAATGCAAAGTGTTATGGGAACAACCTAGTGGTTTTAAAATCAGATTTAAAAAAACATTCTTATTAGTCGATTGCATTATTTTCTAGTGGACATAAACTACCCCAAAATTTTAAAAGCATATTAAATTCATAACATTAAAAACTTTAAAGCTTATACCTCCACCATGCACTTCTATTCACATTTTAAGCACTACAATGAATACAAAAACAAAACAAAAAAATAAAATCTAGAATAAAATCACTTAGAAAGGCATACCTTACTCCCCTTAATCCCTGGCAAACCCTGTGCACCTACATCTCCCTTAGTTCCCTTAGGTCCAGTCTGCCCAGGAAACCCTGGCAGACCATCCAGCCCAGGGAAACCAGCCTCTCCCTGGGAACCTTTCTGGCCTTTAGGACCTAAAAATACAACGTAAACAGTGTATTTAAGTCTGCTTGGACTTATGATAAATCAGCAGAGTCCAATAAATATGATGAAATATTGCACATATTTTACTGCTAGAAAGATATGGCCACTTTTTAAAAGTAATAATTTCTTTAAATCAGACTTACTGCACTTCACATTTCAATATAATAATAATAATAATAATAATAATAATAATAATAATAATAAGTTAATGGCCCACCTCTCCCCCGTATAATCAGTGGTGAAGTGCTGGCATTCACCACCCGTCCACCTGGTCCTACCACTACAGGGGGCGGCACCACAGCACTGTCCACTCCAGGTCCAGGGGGGCCAGGTGGACCCTGGTCACCCTTGCTTCCTCTATCCCCCTTCTCTCCTTTACTGCCACTGAGTCCTGAGTAGCCTTGCTGTCCAGTTAAACCTCGGTCACCCTTTGGGCCGGCTGGACCCGTATCTCCCTTTTCACCCTTGTCACCTTATTTGTTGAATAATGAATGAAAAAATGCGTAATTTGTTTGGTTGGTTATACCAAGGAGTTATAACAGAAGGAGATTACACGCAAGCCTTTCTATTGTCCGATGTCTGTTACGGTGGGCGGAGCTAGCTACGGGGGGCCTCCTGTCAAGGTTTCGTCTGGGTCGCTCTCCTCCGCTCGGAGATTGATTTTATATGCGTTATTTCGCGTTAGAATTCGAAATCAGTAGTGTCAAATCGGCGCTGTATGCTGACGATTTTTTCACAGGTAGTTATTTGGACGATGTGCTGGGAGGGAACGATATCATAGAAAGCGATTTTAAGGTGGTGACTGAGGATGGTCGCCATGAGTTTTTTTGAGTCGGTGATAGATGGCTTTTCTTTTGCACAACACAGTGAAAAATCACCAAGGATAAGTCAAAAGAAAACGTCCCAACTGTGGTTTGTGAAAATGACATTCAAGTGAACGTCTGTCCTCACTGCCAAAGAACATAATATTAATACATAAACGTTTGGACCCTCCTGCCCTTGGGTCCCATAAACATATACATTGAGACAGTGCCTAAGCTTTGTGACTGCATGGTTTTAAATTTCTTTAAGTATTTTTTTCTCTCACTCGGTATAATTTTAATATCCTAATGCATTGAAGTGAAATTTTAATCAAAGGTTGAAGCAATGCCACGACATGTCAATTTACTAAATACTCGTTATAAATTTCTTTATCTTGGAAATCTCCCTTTTTTTTAGGATTATTTTGACACATACTAACACTTCATATTTGTCGGTAAACAAGTACACAGTGCTAAACATTAAGAATATTCATTCATAAATATATTTATGTACAAAATATATCAGAAATTTTAGTATTAACTGAGCTTTTTAAAGTGAAACAAATAAAGATGAGAATTTTTAATTTCAAACTATTATTTACTATATTAACTTAAAATATCTTTTAAGTCAACTCTATACTCAAGCATCATGATAGTAGCATCTGTGAGTAAAACCATTTTATTATATCAATAGAAGAACAAAAACAAAATTTTACACATAAGCAGTAATTAATGAAGTCATAAGAATGATTAAGTTGCTATAGTTTTCCANTTATAGGCACTTGTTATGAGTGGGAAATATTTTTCGTGCAATATTTATTCTCCACACACCACCTCGCGAGATCAACGTGTAGCTGGACACTTACACAGTGAGACCCTACGACATAAAAGTTGCAATTTATCTTCATATTTCGTGTAGTTATGCATTTAAAAGCACTTACCTGTTTTTTGAAAACCTTGTCCAACGTAATATCATATAAATTCTGTATTTCTCTCATTTTTTAGAAACTTGGGACTCCGTTTCTGTGTCTGTCCTCAAAAATCAACAGACGAAGGCACAGATACTAACAAACGAGATTTAAACGAGAGTAGCAATTAAGCGTAACAGAGATAGGCATCTATTGTTCTCTGGGTTCTATTCATTCCGACCAATGAGAGACCGTAATACGGGCTCCGCCCCCACGCGTGTAATCTCCTTCTGTTATAACTCCTTGGTTATACATTAGTATACAGATAGCAGTAAGTACGAAATATCATTCCATGTTAGAAATGTGTAAAACTAATAATATGTTTTAATCTCTTTGGGTAAAATATACTTGCTTGGTATATTTTTATGGATTCAAATAAAACATGTCTTATATCACATAACATGAGAAAACATTTTCATTAACAAGCTATTTAATTTAACAAGTTGCAGAATAACAATAGTTTGTTCAACTTATCTGGTTATAAAAAATAAAATAATATTTAAATTATTTTACAAAACAACAGGTATTTTTCTTGAACATCTTTGTAATACCTTTATAGTAGGGGTATTCTGGAGGGGGTGGGGTGATAGGGGGAGGTATCAGCAGTCCAATATTACCCACTTCTCCTTTACTATTCCCACTGCTGTCAGTTACCCCTGTGGATGGTTGTGTCACCTGAAAACACAAATGGTAATGATAATGAGCAGAATGACAGCAAAGTTGCATAAACTAGCCACAAGTTAACAGTGAAACTGATGTTGTGCTATATAACAGCACATCCCTCACCCATTTGTACAGTGTAGTCCAACAATGAAACTACATTTGATAATGACCGGGACCCTCCTAAGGGTCATCTGAAATACATCTGTCTTGTTAAATCATAAAGAGCGCAACTCAATACCTCAATTTCCCTGCATTAAGCATTAAGAACGTAAGAAACTACCATCATCATCTTTCTCAACTTACAAATGCTGCCACCCAGGAATAAAATACAAAGTTCTGATACTTCATTCCCCAGTTTGACTCAGGTTTTGCCACAAAAAAATTCCCTGCGGGCAATGTCTCATATCCATCTGTGATCCTACTGCCCTCTGCTCTCTGACTTGGGGATTACAGACCCTAACTCTCCATCTAATTAACTAAAGGACTTCCAAATAATGTGGACTTACTGGGGTTGTCCAGACAACACAATAGACAGAACCCCATTTCCTTTATCTGCTGTAATGACTGTCTCCTTTTTGTTAGCCAAGTTCCCCCCTTACTCACAACAATTGAATCTACTGTGTAAAATGGTTCATTACCCTCTTTTACCTGGGTAATTGATGAGAGGTGGGCTTCAGATTTGGGGCATGCAAAAACTTCAAAGAACACCAGATTTGATCTTGTCAATATATGGCACCTTATGGCTAAGAGCATGGTTACCTTTTCCACAGGTTGGCACTCATCGCTGAGCACATGTTTGCAGCCCCATAAATTACCATTTTAACAAGATGGAAGGAGTTCAGGAATTTGTCACCAGAGTGTGATATTCATACTGTCAATATCAGCATGATATATCTGCCCCATCAGAAGATACTTTAGAATTCAGTGATTGTAACAGGTGTGTATGTGTCTATGTGTGTGCCGATCTGATTAATCAAGAATCTTTAACAGGCAGTAGCTTGAAACGTTACATACCCCATTGAAATCAGAAAATAAATGACTTGCTATGGTAAAGTCTTCCCCACTGTCTGAGGGATTAGATCCACTGCCTATAAACTGAAACAGACAAAAAGTAGAATTAAATGTTAATCTGAGTAAATCCAAACATTATTTATTTTGATTGTGCTCTGTTGAGGATCTCCTCAACACTTGAAATTAAATTGTTTCTTCCACAAGCAAAGAGGGTGCAGCATCTTTTGTATCTGATGAAAAGCAGTGGTGGTCTCAAAAATGACAAGTTAACAGGACCTTCAAACTTTTATTTATTTAAATGGGCAATCAGTCTTCTGCTTACTTTAAGAAGAAATTGGAGAATTGAAAAATAATTGTACTTAATTGCTAATACCAGTGACTGTGTGAACTCAAGACTGATTGATTCATTGCAGAGAGACAACAAGATAAATTTAAAGACAGCTTTATTTTCTGGAAAATGATAAAACATCGAAGAATATATTAAAGTGCAAATAGTAAAATGTATTTGAAAACCCTATTGTTGTCCAACTGACTTCTTTAATTATATAAGCATAGTGTATACATGTTTAGTAAGAAAAAATGACCTTATTTGTCTGACTGGACTAGTGAGAAGAGTCAGGCTTGGTCATTATATTTACTTTTGTCTTGTTCTAAGATACAAACCACCTGAGCACAATGATATCTTATACTAAACCTAACTTAAGATAATGATGAAAATTTTTAAAAATTGTGCAGTTAAAAAAAAAGCTTAACACTAGTATACAAAATATGTATAATGACACTGTATAATCTGGCAATAGTTTAAAGTAACAAAAATCATTGAATTAAGCCAATCTGTTGCTATGGAGGCTGCTTACATTTTCTTGGCACTGGTCCTCTGCCTCCCGGTGATCAGGGTGGATCTTGAGTTCTTGCACAGCTCCCTGTAAATAATAAAGCATATTGATAAAAGATGATATAAACAACAAAATCTGAAAAAAAAAAACTCAATAACATTTGCCTACTAAAATATGTGCAAATAACTGATTGATGTACCAGTACCTGTATTGAATACGTATAGATTCACATACCATTATGAATGAACTCAGAAATTTATGAACAAACTATAAAATTGCATGAGTTTGGCACATCAAAAAATTGTCTTTTTTATATATACCAAATAGAAAAAAACTTAAAGAAAGTCTCTCTAAATTTGAGAAATTTGAAAGAATTAAATATTTACTGTAGACAAATATGCGAAAGGACAAAAAGGTAAAAAAAAACTCAGGCAATAAGACAGGTCTCTTGTTTATTAAAAGCTGGCAAACTTCCACCTATGTAACATAGCACCTTAGTGGGGCAATGGCATTAATCAAGCTGTCTACCAAGGCAATAGTCACACCCTCGCTAAACAACCTACTGCTTCATCAATTTGTCTGGAAGACATCCTCAATCCACACATAAACACAGACCTTATGTTGCCTGATTTAAATTGTAATTTTTGGCATTCTAGTAATGCCCACACACACACACAACAGGTACCTAGCTGTAAAGTAAAAAATACCTAGTAATTCTTTTTTTTTTTAATTTCTATTTTTGAAGCAAGTTCTAGACATTCAGATAATTACTTTCAGACAGAAAAAAATGAAAAATTGTTGAATAAAATCTACACATTCAAAGACCTAATTACAGGTATATAGTGCATAAAATGTTTCAGTTCAGACATCTCTATCTTGGAATGCCTGTCATGCTGAGCTGCCATATGGCTAACACATATGGGAAATTGGAGGGTTTATCAGATGGATTTTATCTAAATTGGGCAGTTAAGTCCTAATTTTCTGCCCAACCTCCTTCAATTATGTCACCTGTCTCTTCCGATTAAAATCCACAACCACTCAATTATCTCAGATCTTTATCAGTCCCACCAGACCAATCATATCTCACCCATTGTGTTCAGGTGGGACCACCAACATCTCAACTGCTGCAATGAGATGTATAGCTAGGCTGTGACCTGATGGGTATTCCAAATGCACGCTCTGGTGACACCGCTATCTTCCATTCAGATATATGATTAAAAAAATTACTTGCATTAAGGGCAAGAGTGCAAATAAAACTACTTCAATTATTAGCACAGTGTCAGATAACATTCAGTGATAAAAGCATGTTTTTTAATGTCCTGTTGCACATATTTTGGTAGCTCCCTTGATCTTATCATTTATCTTATTCTCACAAAATGTTGTCAAAAGGCAAAGATTTATGATTCTCAAGGTGATAATAGTTGGTGAGATTCTATCAGGTTATTTTCTCACTTTAATCTTTCAGCATCAGTATTTTGACAAATGTGTAACCCTTTTCTCCATGAGTGTGATGTCTGATGAGGAAATCTATTCATATCTTACAAAAGTTTGCTACCTGTGGCAGGTCAACCCATGTGGGTCTAGAAAGGCTGGTGAATATCCCTAGTTTCTGAAGCAACTGAGTTTTCCTATTCTCCCTGGATTAAAAAAAGCCTAGTCTATCACACCTTGCTCCCTACACACTGTGCTAGTTTCAATTCATACTACTGTTTATCAACAGTTTTCAGGCAATACCTAGAGATAAATGTTTAAAAAAACGTTGCTTAACCCCCCTCTACTTCCTCCCTTTTTGCACTACTTGAAGCCAAAGTGCTATTCCCTCCATTGCAACCAAGTTCAGCTAGTTTACATATACACCTGTGTAAGGAGAGGCATAAGGTGTGAAGTGTCTTACTTCAGGACACAGGGCAGACAGGTAGCTAGCAGGTTAATGCTTATATTCTGTTGAAGTTTATTGCCCCTGTTCTTTCCTACTCTGTTTCCCCCCATATTCAAGTCACATGCACATATACAATCCTGACCTAAAATGTCAAGATAAAAGTAAAATTATATCAAAGGAGATCCTGGCACCAAATCTGGGAACCACCTTTCTTAAACATTGCCCACTCTCAAAGGGCAACATACACATCTAATAAGGTTAACAGGCACATTTAAAACAAGGAAGCACCAGTTATTAGCTCCATGATTAGGTTCAGATTTGCCAGCGTTACTCCCAATTAATGTCCAAAACTTGAAGATGGTCATCAGTTGTAGCATGTTGACTTCCTGTTTTTAATGATAAATCCATCCACGTCAACAAGAAAACTATAATGCAAGTTCAATTCTTTAATTTGAAAAGGTCTTTGTTCTTATAAACTTCTTAAAAGGTTAAAATATAAACAGTTACTGATAATCAGATATATTTTTTAAGTGAGCACAGACAGCTATTACAGGACAATCAAATAATAATATTATACTTTAGTTATCAAATAATATTGTATGTACAGTAAAACTACTCTCCTCCCTCTTCAAATCACTTCTATAGCATTTCTATTGCAAATCGTGATACTGTAGTATTGCTGTGTCTACAAGAGCATCCTAGAATGTCTGAAAGTTTTTTGGGGTAAACAGGTCACTGCTGTTACTATATAAAGAAAGGCGATCTTTATCAGTCTGCATACTAAGATATGGGCTAATCTTGCATTTCATACCTGGTGGGTGCTAGGTGGTTAACCAGTCAGTGATACTCCTTCAAAAATAACGCCTATTATACAAGAAAATTGAGATTGCAACATGATACACACCCTTGCCTCTTACATAAAATTGCTTCTTTTGAGGAAGAAACCCTTTGCTTAAATTTGCACCTATCTTATGTTTTTTTTTCTTTTTCTTTTTTCAAAGACAAACAACACTGATGTATAACAGTTAAAGGTGGAAAGCTAGGAAAGAACAATACAGAAAGTCCTTTAGTCTTTTTATATTAGAGTGACCAAGCCTCCTCCTTCAACCCCCATCTACACCCACCCTTAGTAATATCTCAACATTTTCTTTAATCTTCACAGCATTAACACATAATCAGCCTACCTGGAAATGGCCTCCAAATGCTCCGCCCTGCCCTATGTACAGCGTAGATCCAGGAATGAGCATCAGTGGCTTCCTGTCTTCGAAGGTCACTGTCTCGTATTCCTCGCAGTCTAAGTAAAGTGTAATACTCTCCTGATAAACCAAGATTGCAAATCTCGACCATTGTTTTACAAATTGGGGCACCTTAAAGGTGGCAATAGCAGTGGCTGTTGGCTCCAACTCCTTATGTTTTTCTAGCTCTGTGTAAATAAGTACTATATTTTGGTGTCCGTCCACCACCTCTGTGATATTCAATCCAAACTGAAGGACATTTGACATGGGATTCACTACTGCAAATAAAAATCCTCCTTCTGCAGAGAACTGTTTGACAGTGACCAGAATGGAAAATTCTGCAAAAAGAACTTTAGGTAGATATGATAACACTGGTTTCTGAATGTCTGCATTATGCTTGATCTGGAAAGCTGGATAGCCATCAAATCCACTAATGAATGTTACATGGGGTGTTAATGGCCTCACATCAATTGCTTGTAGTAAGTCTGACTCCCTAGGTTCTGAAACAAAGAAAGTATAAATATACATAACATGTTTCAGCAATTACATGTGATCTTTTCTGATAAAAATGGTCAAAATCAATTATTTCAATATACATATTTCAAGAAATTCATAAATAGATGCCATGAAAAAAAATTAAAATCTTTTGAGAAATGTTGATAATTAGAAGAACACATCAACTATTAACCATAACTCAATATGTTTAGCTCAAACTAAAAATACATTAATCAGCAAAGCTTCAAATGATGTTTGTGGGTTTTCTTATGTCAACTGGTAATAAAAAGGCACTGCCTAATTATCTCTAATGGTAGCCTTCATGTCATGTGTCATAAAAGTTTTTCAATAGACAATTCTGAACATTTAATGACCATGAAAATCTTTGCCACTGTGGCTAAGTGTAGCACTACCATGAGCCAACTGACATTAATAGGGGCTCTTTGAAGTCCCTCATTTGAAGTATGTTTCAAGCAGGCAACTTCTCTGAAGCAGGTTACTATGAAGGCAAAAGACACAATTGCCTATGCCAGCAGTGGACCTGATACAGAGCAAAACATTTGTTCAGAATTAGAACCACTTCCGAATTTTTTGGTTGACCTAACTTGTTTTTCTTCCCCATATCTGATTATAGAATCTGAAGAACAACTCCATCAGACATTTCAAATTGGTTAAATTTGATGATTGCTATCTTAAGTGTAAGTTTAAGTGAAACTGAAGTCAGCACACATTAGCATGCACAACACTGAGAGTGTTAGTCAGACAGAAGAGTCCTTATAAAAACACTTATTATGAAAGTAAAAAACAAATGTTTTCTTTTTTTACATTTGAACAACAGGTGCTGGCTTCTTAACACTGAAATCTTAATCTCCCCAAAGACCAAAAGGAATTTGCTGGACAAAACTATATTATTTCGAACTGCAGACTGTCTAATATGAAGTTGATTGAAATGTTGATTTTTTTTTCACACATTAATTGCAAAGCAAGTGAAATGAAGCTGGTCCTTGTTTATTTCTCTCACAGCTGGTCAGCTTAATAGCCAACAGCTATCAACTGAATCAAGTAAATATTCTTCAGGTCTAGAAGTTCTAGACCATGGATTCTTTGAGTTTTCTACAGGATTAAGAAGGTAATCATTTTAATACGTTCTTACCCTTGAGATCCCCCTCATAGATATGTCTACATTATGTGTACAGAACAGATTGCATACCAAAGTCCAAGGCTAAAGTTGTCAGACAATATCTTTCATGAACAAGCACAATGTCGTCAATTTCACACAATTTGTTGATACCATACTAAAGACATATTTGAAAAATTTAAAGTTCATCTAAATAATGTACTCCCTCATGCATTAGAAACTCATCAAATTTGATCAGTCTGCACAAAAAATGTCCCTTGAGTTAAGAGGATTTCTGTAATGATTCAAGTCACTTTGTCTTTGTATACAGTAAATATCCTTCAAAGTTAAGAGGTTGGCTCTGATTATTTTAGCCATCTTAGTGCTAAAAGAATGATTAATACGACTCAAGTCATTCTGTGAAATGATTCCTTGGAGTAAAAGAATTGTAATACTGATCCCATTCATTTTGTGTACATGTTCCTCAGAGTTAAAAGCATGACTGTGGTGAAGTTCCGAAAGAGCAGGTGTCTTGCACACCTGACAGTCAGGACATACTATCCAGATGACCAGATGGTCAGTAACCGTCCACACAAACCTGGTTAGGTATGATATGCTGACGGGCATTCATTTTGGGATAGGTAACTTAACTCAGTGGTGGACTTGGAGAGCAGATGTTATGTTATAATGGGTCACAGGCAATCCTAATACAAGATTTTGTTTCTTATTTAGTAAAAGAGTGAATCCATTAATTTGCACTGTTCAGGATACATTTTCCTGTCTTGATTCAGGTTTCACTCACTGCTGTCAATTTATTCAATTATTGTCATTGTAAAATTGCTTTCAAAGCAGTTGTTTGTTTATTTTTATGACAGACTTGATGTGACTACCTGGGCTGAGCAAACCATCCTTTCATTTCTAAACACAACTTGTGTCTCACTCAGCCAAGGGTAAACATTTTGTTGTTAAGAAGATACAAATTAACCACCATTACTTACATTCCAAATCAATTTCTCAGTTACAAAAACATTTTGAAAGACATTTCCAAAACAAGATGGTCAAATCTAACCTCCCACATTGAACCCAGCATCTTCATGATAAAATGTCCAGGTTAGACATTAAATGTTAAAAAATAGCAACAAATATAAATTGTTTATCATACATGCTTTCACTCATGAAATAGCTGGCATTCTATAATCAATGGGAGTACAGTAACAGAGCCTGTTAGTTTATAATAAATCTATAATGCAAAAGCACAGATGCACAGATGAGGATTCTCCTGGGCTAACACAAATTACTTTTCCTGAGCATCTGTGAACGTGGATTCAGACCACCAGCAGAAGACCTCTGAAACATAATTCCCTTCACATGGGTCAACAACTCCACTGATAACTGACAATGTCTCTTCCTGTTTCCCAATACAGGATCACATGGCAAGAAAAAATGCTAAAGAAAAAAATTCAAATGCCCATGCCCAGTTTGTTTAACAGAGACATAACTAAGTATCCATTACCTCTCTTGCCTAAAGCAATACTACAGAAAACTGAATAGTTTCAAAGATGGTCATTATAGCATTTAATTGAAAAGCTTGATTTCTTTGAGTAACTATGGCTGACTGCATAGCTGGCTTCCTGCAGTAAAATACTGCATATCTGTTATCACTACTTTCTAATATTCCTTCCATAAAAATGCACTGAAAAGAAAAATATTTACTATTTATGTTTCTACTACAAAAGACCAGACTTGCAGTAGACCTTGGCTGAAGAAAACGTGTTATACATAGCAGATTGAAAAAAGACATGACTTCTCCTTTAACACCTCGGTAACAAAGGATATCCACTGGACTCAATCAGAAGGGTAAATGCAGAGGTGTGCCTGACATGTTTTTACAAATCAAACAATCATGTGGGTGCCTCTTAAAACACGCTGCCGGCAATTGAACCGACCACTCACCTCAGCTTAACCACAATACAAAACCTGGATCACAATTCTAAGTGAGAACATCCGATCACCTTAGATCACCTCTATTAATGTACCTGGGTGTCATTTACATGTATGTAAAATGTCTTGCACAAATATACCAGTATTCAAACTAGCATCTTCAACATGACATGGAACTAATAAATATCTGAATCTCCAGGATAAGCTTGAGATGAATGTGTATTCTTAACAGAATTCTCACTGCACAACCAAGGCAGGTGACTTTTTTTCTGGATTTTTAAGTATTCTAACTATATATGACTAATATTGTATATTTTGATGCATCATGTGCTGAGGAAAATGACTTTTATCTGCTTTCTTCTATGTCCTACAAGTACAGATCTGGGGAAATATACCAACTATTTCATAAGTTTCTGCCCTGGAAGCTAGTCAAATAGGTTTTTTTCATCCTTTCATGTGCAAGCTATAGGGCATAATTATAAGAAACATACAACCTTCAGTAGTAGCTGGAATGAAAAACTTTTTTAGCGCCAGCAACATGCTGTTATTATGAGATATACTTTACACTGCAGTCGTCATGTTCACAGTGGATGTCAGGGAAGTGACATTACAGAAAGTCTGCCCACCATTCCAACCACATCATATACAGGTACACACAATGCCTGAATGCCCCTCAGCACACTGCCACCTTCACTAACATCCCTTCATTCTGATCAAAATGAAGTGCTAACATCAAACTATAATCTTTACCTACAACAAGTTTATTCACCTCAAAATCAGTATACCTGTGATTTTCTTAAAATGATCCATCAATGTCTAAATTATAGATTCCAGTAGAGCAAACATTTTCAATAAAACATGATCTGACTTTTTAAACTGATCCAAAAATGTCAAAAAGAAATGCATCACTAAGTCTCAAATTGAAATGACTGAAGAAAAGTCAAAGAAAGAAACATTTCCAACGCTGTGAGGCCTGTAATAAAATGCAATGTGATGATTCTTAGCTTCCAATAAAAGGCAACAGGATCCAGCACAAGGCTCTACTTACCACCTGTGGGGAAACCAACATCAGACTTTGTTTCTTCAACTGATAAACCGAACCTAGCTAAACCCAATGTTTTTACTAGAAAAGCTGTTACATTTATTTTATAAACAAATACTATTAGCCATAATACTCAGTACATATGATTCTTCATAATTTTCTTTTTAAGGTACTGAGACACAAACACAAGAAGGTATCACCCTGCTGGAATCAGTCCTCAAAGTCAACCTGCACCGCCAATCAAGTTAAATGAATACTGGTACTGTATAAGAATAGTATGTCACATTGGGGGAAAAGATTATGAATAAATCAGGATGGGTGGAAAGGTTGAAGCAATTTGACCTGTACCCTCAAATCTTTTTATTGTATCTTCTTAGTAAAATGGAATGTACTAGACGGCACTGGCTTTTTTATACCACTTTACAGGTAATCTGACAAATGTAGGAATGTGGGGCAAGACATGCTTTGCATTTCCTTGACGAAACAGATATATGGGAATACCTGCAAGGTCTTTTGCTATTTCTTTGCAAATATCCAAAACAAGAAAATATTTACCATACAAAATTTTTACAAAAATGTCGTAAGTACAGGCCCGTAGCCAGCAATTTCAAAAGGGGGGTTCTTTTTCTGAAAAATTGGACCTTTTCCCATAAAAACTGCATGTACCTAGATCAAATTTTACCCAGAGTGGACCTTTTCCCAGCAAAAGGGGCGGTTCTTTCGTTCCCCCCAAACCCCCCCCCCCTGGCTACGGGTCTGTAAGTATTAACACAATATTTCTAGAAATATACCACTAACTTTGCACTAAGCCTTACATGTTATACTGAAAACATATGGAAGCCTAAAGGTATTGGGATATAATATTTAAATGTTTCAAAGATAAAACCATATTAACATAAAGGTTT